TGTCAGGACAGGACCCCCGATCATCTTAACAACTGACTAACAAAGAAACAACTCTGGAAGAAAAAAGGCTTACCAAATAACTCGGAGTGCTCAACTGGATCAACGAAGCGCTAGATGCTGATCCTGGTTACCTATATCTACATCATAAAACAATGCAAGCCAAATGGCATCAGTACATTGAATGTACGAGCATGCGAGGGGAAAACTAACATGATATAAGCTTGAAAAGAATCTGAAAGAACACTTACCTTACCTTTACTCAACTCATGAATACTTAGCTCAAACGCAAAGTCAAAACAACAATAAATGTGCAGTTTATACAAAGCATTTAAACCAGTAGATGGTAACTCAATGTATTAAAGCAATACAATAACAACTCAGTTTACCTATAAAGTAATATAATACTATGGGATTTTCTCTAACTGACAACCATCACTGAGCTAAAGTGATGATACAACGTCTCGCCCATGCTGCCAGAACTGTCCTATACCTTGCCGTGATATAGAACGTCTCTACTAAGTGGATCCAGTAGTATATGCTAAAAAGCACTAAGGTGTCATCTAGAAAGTATGACCCTTTCAACCTACGATGGCTAGATGGTTTATGGAGACTTGAGTTATTATGAACACATCCCCATATCGGTGCTCAATACTACTCCCAAATATACTCAACTCATATGTTTTTTAAAAAAACTCTTTCTGTGATTTGAGGTAATTACTCAAAAACTAGCTTAAAAACTCTCTTGGAAATCGGTGTTTCCCTTCTTGTTTAAATGTGAAAACATTTCAACTCTTGTAAATACTTAGTTCCCGTATAATCTTTTGAAGAAATGAACTTTACTCTTACTATTTACTTAACTCAAAACTCAAACCTTAAGATAAAGTTAAAACATTTGTGAAAGACTTTTGGAAGATTCTATGAACTTCTCTTGAGTTGCCTCTTAACTTTCTTGGAATTGAATTATGGATTCAAGGCTCATGATCTCATGTTTATGGATGACTTCATGATTTTTAGGCGTACCTTAGAGTGTAGAAATCAACTAGAAAACTTAGGAACGTTTCTAGGGAACTCACACGGAAAGAAGTGGGAAAAGGTGGAATATTACGCGCCCCTAACGCTCTGAATGGCACGGGGATCCAGAGGGTGAATGTCAGAAGCTGGGTCGGGGCTCTCTGGCTGGTGCGGCACCCCAGAGCCCAAACTTCAGAAGTCCCTTTGGGGAGCTCTGAAAGACGCGGTGCCCCAGCGCTCCTCCCCATGTTTTTGACGAATTTTCTTGCTCATTTTTCAACTCTAAACCTTCTAGATTCGATTGGTTCTTTTTCCAAATACTTAGATTCGACTATATCACCAATATATGTAAGAATCTACTCAAAATCACACCTAATTTCATCAATCAAACTCAAGAAACTTCTCAACAATTCCAATAATATGGATTTCTTCAACCTAATAGTTACCAAAATGAGATATAAGTCGGTCAAAATTGAGTGTCAACAATATGGATTTTATTAATCTAATTTTTATTTAAACTCTAAATATAAGTGCAAAAACTAATTAATATTATTTTCCAACTTTCAAAGAATAGTTGACTAGTTGCATTGAATTTTTAATTTACCCACTTCTTTTAGATTTAAAATTTAATGATTGAATTCACTTGGCAAGTTGGTAAACCACTTATGTCTTATAAATATGAAGACTTTACTTTGAATCAATATACAAAAATAAAATGATCATCATTGAGATTTGAGATATAGTGACTTTGTATAAAAGATGACGAAGGAATCAACCATTGTATTCACTCTTCTTTGGGCGTTCATTTTGCTCGGTAAAGTTTCTTCTCCTTTTCCCCTCCTCTTCTCTCTCCTTCTGCCTCTCTCTCTATCCCTCTCATTATCTCTTCTTATATGGTATGTCATATATATATATATATATATATAAAGGTTAACATTTGGGATTTGTATTAGATTTTTTATATGTTTACATTATCGTCCGTTTCAAATATATTTTCTCCTAATAACAATTTTTTTTATCATACAAGAATGAGTCTGATTTGATTGATTTGGTAGAACCCAAGTAAGAGTATTTTTGGATATTTATTAATTATCTAAGGGTATATTTAGATCTATTAAATCCCTCAATAGGGTATGCATAAAATTATTACAGAGAATACATAAATAATAATTTGATAGTTTAAGATAAACTTAGATATTTTAATTGACTATATGGCTTCACTGAGGCAATTATCATAGCCAAAAATAGTATAATCACACAAATATTATGAAATATTTAAAACTTTTTTTTCGTTAAACTTAGTTCCTAACTAAATTCTAACGTACAAAGCATAATATAGGAAATATATATTTCTTCATTTGCTATTCATTTGAAGTTTGCAAAATAAACTATGATCAAGAGATCATATCAATATTAATTGATTGTCCTTCATTATTAAACTAGTGGTAGTAACTTAAAGAAATTATATATGTTTGATTTCTATGTATTGTCAATGAATTTACTTGAAATAATGACATTAACATTTATTTTTATTTTTGATATAGGTTCACAATCATGTATAGTACTCGGAAAAGATCAAAAGTGTCAAAGAGCACAAGATTGTGCTCCTTCTTGCCAACTTGGAATTCCGATTTGTTCTGACGGAATTTGTGGATGTATTGAGGGAATAAGAAGGAGTGTTTATTTTAAGAAAGACAATGTTTATTTGGGTAAATGTTCTTGTGGATGTAAACCACATTGTGTCCTACGATTTTGCACATGTCCTTGTTGTTGAAAGCAAAAACTAAGACATGTTTGAGGTTGAGAGAATACTTATCGTATTATAATGAAAACTTAGAGAATATTTTATCTTATTTTAATAAAAGCATTGTCTACCAATTTGATATTTTCACTTCCTTCCTCCAATTCAAACTAGGATAAATCTATTGTGATAGTTATGAGCATATGTGAATTTAAAAAATCCACTAATTATTTGTAAATATTTTATTTGGCTATGAATACAGTTATTATCATGAAGAATTATATTAGCATATCAATGGGAATCATAAACTTTATATTTCTAGGTTCCCCTCTAAATCCGTGTTACAAATCTTAATATACTAAAAGTGTCGTGCCTTTGATCTACACCGTAGGTGTGGCCGACAATCAAAATCACTTATGATCCAAGAAACCCTTTGTCTAACATATATACTATAAAACTGAACACTAAATAATGTGAAAGCTAATAATAATAATAATAAATAATAATAATAATAATAACAATAAATAATAATAATAATAATAATAATAAGGTTTTATAAAAGCTTTACATGATGGTAGAAATCATAATTGGAAGAAATCTCTTATAAGGACTATTCAAACTAGTCTTGCTTACAGACTAGTTTATTTTAATGCTTATCCTAATTTGCAGATATCTTTACAGGATGAGAACTCATTAAGTTCTCTTATGCTAAATGTTAAAGTTCATGGTAGATTTTACTCAGAGTAATGGAGAAATTACCAAATCAGTTTTTCCTCCATTACAGTCTTTTCAAATTAATAAAAATGATAAGATTGTTCACTTCAATGCCTTTTCAAAATTATTTGAAATTGATACTGCTCTTGTTACTACACAACATATTAAATGTCAATATTAAGCAAAGTAATTATGCAAATATTTATATGACCATATTGGGTGAGCATATTGTTTCTTTACATGATAAAGTTGATAAACTTATCTCTATGATAAATTCTAATTACAAAGGAAAAGAGAAGGTTGCTCATAGCAGTATCCAGCCTCCCCTGGAGATTGAGGATTTCAAGTTAAAAGACTATTCGGATCTTGAGAATTTCTTGGAAAAGAAATTCAAGGGTGGTAGCTTGAAGCTGATAAATTCTAATCTTCCTATTTAACTGCTTGGAGAATCTTATCCCTTTGCTCTTGATTGAGATAATTATTGTTCCTCATCACTAAAATTGTTGAAGAACCATTTTCGGAAAGGTTTCCATTTAGATCGTTTAAAATCTTTAGCAATCTTTGCTCTTGCCGGGGAGCCCGGACTAAAATCAGTCTATTTTTTAGACATCATAAAAACAATTTAAGTAGATAATCCATCTGAAAAATTCATTTCAGATTTAGTTATATCTAAATCGCCTCCCCCAGAGATTGAGGATTTCAAGTTAAAAGACTAATCAGATCTTGAGAATTTCTTGGAAAAGAAATTCAAGGGTCATAGCTTGAAGCCAATAAAAGTTGATAACTTTTCAGAAGGAGAAAGTAGTCAAAAAAATGAATTTTCTAATGATATTAATAAAATCTCAGAAACAGATGCTAGAAAGTCGATCCAAAAGATGTACTACACACTAGTCTGTCAGCCTTATCTTTGTATTATTGGCCATTGTAAAGTGTGTGGGCCATTTTGTTTTATCTTTTAAGATTCTTCTACCTCTATATAAAGAGGTGAAGTTTTATTTTGAAAGGGCAGATTTTAGAAAACCCCCTCTCTCTAAGCACTGTAATATTTTCCTTTGTAAGTCTTTCAAATTTGGATTAAAAGCTTTCAATTTGGTTTGTACATCGGCGGGTTCGGAGCTCGACTCCAGGTACTATTTCTCTTTTTTTTATTTCTTCATGTACTTGGCCTAAATGATAGGCTAAACTATTTGTGTTGAGCTATAACATACAAAGTTACTATAAGATATGGTATTTGTGTCTATTATAATGACAGTTTGAGCAGTTAGACTAAGGTCACATGTAAGTTATCCAGGAAGATTAGTGAAAGTTTATGAAAGGCTGCCGAAGGAATCCGTTGGATTACCTGTTGGCCAGGAAAGACGCAGGGCGGACCTGGATAGTAGGGGATTTCATCAACGTTCATTAACTATTCCAGGCCTACTCCTCAAGATGTTTAATAGAGGAAAGAGATTGGAATCAAACTAACACTTTTTATAGTGGAAGTGAGATTTATGAATGGAATCTCGATGGGCTAAGTGATAGGCAGTTGACAATTATGGTTCATAGGATGCTTATGTATGCTACTATCTGCAAAAGTGTTAGTAACACTGACAAGACCATTTGCAAGATGATTATTGCAGGATTTATCGGTCAACTAAGAGGATGGTGGGATAATTATATGCCCTCTGATGCGAGAGCAGCAGTAATTAATGTTAAGGCAGTAAATGAAGGAGTTGATAATTTAGGCTTTGCCCTTGTTCAAAATAGAGAAGACGCTGTGTATACACTTATTTTGACTATTCTTGAACATTTTAGTGGTAGATTTACCAATCAATATGAAACCATTAGATATCTACTAAATGGTCTTAGATGTAGACATTTAGGTGAGTTTAGATGGTATAAAGACACTTATTTAAGTCGGGTAATGGAACTTCCCGAAAATGGTTTAGAATTCTGTAAAGCCAAATTTATTGATGGCTTACCTTCTTTATTTGCAGAAAGAGTAAAGAAAACTCTTAGAAATCCACAAGGAATTATTCCCTATAATGATTTTACTTATGGAAAACTTATTTGGGCTTGTACGCAAGAAGGCATAAATTTGTGCAATGAGTTAAAACTCTCAAGACAGCTTAAAATGGATAAGCTTAGAGAAAAGTCTCAATTAGGAGATTTTTGTACTCAATTCGGTTTACCAGATGCTTCAAAAAGCACCAACCGAGAAACTTCTAAATCAGAATCTCATAGATCTCATCATAAGAAAAGAAGATCTAGAAGTAGGACTAGAGAAGAAAGAGATGAGCGTAGGGCTCATCGTAAATCTCATAGATTTACTAGGAATAGGTCAAGGCGAAATCTTGATAAGATTAAGTGTTATAAATGTGGAAAATTTGGGCATATAGCTCCAAATTGTAAGCTAGAAAAGCTTAAGACTCTAGAACTTGATGATGATATTCAAGAGAAGATTTATAGTTTTCTATATACTTTTGCTTCCGAATCAGATTATGATGATTCTGAAGCAAGTTATGCAACAGAGGATGAGCAACCTGAGTCATCTTGTAAGGTTCAACAAGATTCGAATGATGCTTGCAAATGTCAGGGTGATAGTTGTCACTGCGAACATGATGAATTCTACAAGCTACAATTTCAGTTCGAAGACATGAATATGTTCACTATCACTGCAGACAATGTGATAGAACTTCTAAAAGAAGTTACCGATAATGCTCTTCGTGAAAAGATCATTCAATTGGCTGCTGGTAAAACTAGCTCTTCATCTAATATTCCTAATGATAAAAAGGTTAAAGATGAGTTTAATTATTCTGCTCCTTACTCCTTGTCTGAAGTTCATAATAGACTCTCTTCTAAACAAACCATGATTATTCGTGATACCTCTTTTGATGATTTAAAAGGAGAAATTGAACATTTCAAGGAAGAAATTAAATTTCTTAAACAAAATCATATTATTTATGATCACCGTCTTACTCAGATTGAGTCTACTAATAGCAAAGGAAAAAATAAGGTTGATGATTCTACTGCTGAAGAAAATACTTTTGCCAATACTTTGAATATTGATCCTGAACAAAATATGTTTTTAGGAATGATGCAAATTGTTACAGCTCATAAATGGTATGTTAAATGTACTATATTAACTGATAATACTCTTTCTATAACTAACATTGCTATGATTGATAGTGGCGCTGATGTGAGTTGCATTAGAGAAGGTCTAGTACATGCTAAATATTTTGAAAAAACCACTCATATGGTTAAATCTGCATCTGGTCATTCTTTAGATATAAAGTATAAATTATCTAATACTCGTATTTTCCAAAATAAAGTTTCTATTCCTCACTTCTTTTTCTTAGTAAAAAATCAGTTATACCCTCCTATTATTCTAGGAACTCCTTTTATAAATGCAATTTATCCTTTCACTAATATAAATGCTAAAAGATTTTCTGCTACTTATAAAAATCAAGATATTAGTTATACTTTTATCACCAAGCCTATTTCTTGAGATATTAATGCTCTAATTGAAATGAAACAAAAGCATGCTGATTATTTACAACTTGAGATATTTAGTATGAATATATTCGATACTTTAAAATCTGCTAAAATACAGGAAAAGATTAAACTCATTTTTGAAAAAATTGCCATTGATATTTGTGTTGATCATCCTAGTGCCTTTTGGAATCGGAAAAAGCATATTGTAACTCTTCCATATGAAGATGATTTCTCTGAGGAAAATATCCCTACCAAATCACGTCCTTGTCAGATAAATACCGAATTGGTTGAATTCTGCAAAAAGGAAATTGATAATTTATTACAAAAAGGTTTGATAAAGCCTTCCAAATCACCATGGTCATGTACTGCTTTTTATGTTAATAACGCAACAGAAAAAGAACGAGGTGTTCCCAGGTTAGTTATAAATTATAAACCTTTAAATAAATTTTTAAAATGGATTAGGTATCCTAATCCAAACAAAAAAGATTTATTATCAAGATTATATGATGCTAATATCTTTTCAAAATTTGATTTAAAATCTGGATATTGGCAAATCCAAATATTTAAAGACCATTCTTATAGAACGTCATTTAATGTTCCATTTGGACAATACGAATGGAATGTAATGCCCTTTGGTTTAAAAAATGCTCCCTCGGAATTTCAAAAGATTATGAATGATATTTTTAATCTTTATTTGGATTTCATTATAGTTTATATTGATGATATTTTGGTTTACTCAAAGACTCTTGAAATGCATATTAAGCATCTAGACATTTTTAAGAAAATAGTTATTCAAAATGGTTTGGTCATATCTACACCTAAAATGAGTCTTTTCAAACAGAAGTTAGATTTTTGGGTTATTTGATTTGTCAAGGAAAAATGACTCCTATTCAGCGATCTATTGAATTCGCATCAAAATTCCCTGATATTATTACAGATAGGACGCAATTGCAGCGGTTTCTGGGAAGTTTAAATTATATTTCCCCCTTCTACAAAAAATTGTCTCGAGATTTAGCTCTGTTATACGACAGGCTAAAAAAAGATCATAAGAAGCCTTGGACTAATAGTCTCACAGATCTTGTAAAGACTATTAAAGAAAGAGTTCACTCTTTGCCTTGTTTAATCCTTGCTAATCCTGCTTGGCCAAAGATCGTTGAGATAGATGCGTCCAATATGGGTTATGGTGGAATATTAAAACAGATTAACCCGCATGATAAAAATGAATACCTTATTCGGTTTCATTCAAGAAAATGGAGCGATGCTCAGAAAAAATATGCAACGGTAGCTCATGAAATGACTATCGTTAAATGTGTTTTAAAATTTCAGGATGATCTTTACAATTAGAAATTTGTGATAAAAACAGATGCTCAATCAGTCAAATATATGTTTGATAAAGATTTTAAACATGATGCATCAAAATTAATAGGCAAAAGGCATAAATTGCCCCCTAAACGTATACCAAAAATTCATTTACACACTTTAACTAATGGGGTGACCTATTACACACCTTAAGTACATAAAAGTATATTTATTTCCCCCTTCCGTCACCCAACCCAGGGCGCGTTTCGCTCCACATAGTTGAGTGCGTCAACACGCTAATAAAGTCATTTTTATTTTTATTTTTAATTAAAAAAATCTAACCCAGCGGTTATATTCCCATTCCCTTCACATAACCCACCCACCTGACCCTAATGAACAAAAACCCTAAATTTTCACCCAAAAATCTGAATCAAGAGCCCTAAATTCAAACATAGTTCAAAATTCCTTCTTTTGAATCAAAGGTAACTCTTTTTCATTATTATTCATTCATCTCTTTTCCATTTTGATTCATTTCTCTCTTTTTCATTTTGATTTGTTTCTATCTATTTCGTATTTTGAATTTTTAGTTGTTTGATTCGCGGTAATTCTTATTAAGGTGCTACAATGACTCGAATAAGCTTGACTAGGCTCTGTTTACAAGAGGAAGATCATGAATTGGAAGAGGTGCGATGCAAACACGGATTTGTTTTACCTTTGCTGACCTCTTGGACCCCGAGCAATCCTAGTAGAAGATATTGGGGTTGTCCTTACTATGGGGTAAGTTAATCTTTTTTAAGAGTTGAATAATTTGTTTTGTTGTTTCAAGAGCCATAGAATGATTCGTTTTGTTTTTTAAGAATGCTAGATCATGCGATTTTTGGCTTTGGAAAGATGATTATATTGATCCAAGATCCAAATTTGTGATTCCCAAGTTGTTGGGAAAAATTGCGGAGCTTGAACATAGTGTTGAATCTTCTCGAAAAGTTGAAACTTCGGATAAGGAAATCAGCAAGCCTACTAAGTCGACCAAATCCATGGAAAGCAAAATAGATATGAACAAGAAGGAGTCAAAAATGGACAATTTTGATGATGATTTGAAGAAGATGAAAGCAGTTGAAAAGAAATGGAAAAACAAATTGGCCAAGTCCAAGAAAAGGGAGAAACAACTTTGGATTGCTTTGTTGTGTGTTTGTATTTTAGGTGTAAGTTTAGTATTTCAAAGAGTATTGTTTCTGAAAGGAGAAGGACATTCAAGGAAATTGTCATGATCTCTTATTGTACCAAAAATTTGCAATATTGTGTTGAACTTGTAAGGCTTTTGTGTAATGAAAAGAATTTACAAAGCTTCCCTTAGCTTAATTTGTCTCATTTATTGTTGCAAGTATTTGATTTTGTATTTGGTCATAAACTATATATTTAGTGTGTACAACTATCTGCTCAATTGTCTAAACTATACGTTTGTGTAGCCATTGCTTAAGTAGTCACTTATTGCCCTCCATAAACACAGAAACCATCACTAAAAGAGAAGCAATATTGTTACATAAACAGACATTCATAACTGCATAATCATTAATCAAAATAGAAGTTAATATATGTCAAAGCAGTTACATAATCAAACACCATAAATCAAAATGCAGTCACAACTGCAATTCATTGTCTTAAATATAAGGGTACTAAATAGGGAGAAAGTGTATTGCATTGTCTATCACCCAACAAAACAAATGTCTACATTGCATTACCAACAAAAATCTACCAAAACAAGCTAGATTGCATTAGAGCTCTCTAGGCTCAAATGCGCAGCCTTAGACCTAGTCTCCATTTGTTTTCTTCCCCTCATCTCTTCAAGTTGGCTTGAGGTCATAGCTTGTTTTCCCTTCCATTTCACACCACATGGTGGTTTATGTCCAAGATCTCCAGTGACAACTGCTGAAGACTTCACATTTCTAAATCTTTCACTAGGCATTCCAGGCTGTTCAAATGAATATAAATAATCTTAATTTTTGATTAAAGAAAAAATAATAAATGATATTTAAGTATAGAAATAGGGAACTTACATTAATAATAGTAGCACCACTTTGTGTGTGTAGTACACCCATTCCAACCATTCCTGTTCTGCTAGCAACACTACCCTAAAAAATAACAAAATATTCAGTAAAGCAACTTATTTAAAACTTATACATGAAGTAAATAAAGGAAACTATATCACCTTTTCTGTTGAACCCTTTGGTCTACCCCTTCCTCTTTCAGTTGGAGCATTAGGTGTTGATGTTGGTGCAACAGCAGTGACAAAAGTTTGTGTTGATGTTGGTGCAGCAGCAGGGCCAGAAGGAGGTCTTGAACTTGGTACAGCAGGGCCAGAAGGAGGTCTTGAACTTGGTCCAGCAGTATGTCTTGAACTTGTGCCAGAAGCAGGTGCACCAAGAGGACACTTTCTTTTATTGTGACCCTTGTTATGACAAGTGTTGCATGACATCTCAATCCCTCTTTTGGATAATTTTCCAGTTTTACTGGTTTCACCTTGCTCTTTCTTCCTTTTCTTGCCAGGCCTTCCTGGCATCTTCCTAACAGGAGGTGGTATCACAGAGATGTTTTGTGATTCTGGCCACATTTTCAGATTCATAACTGGCTGAATGAAGTTGTTGTATGTCTTCATGTATGTTTCTCTGTTATACCAATAAGAAATGTAGTTGATTGGGTCCAATTTCCTATGGTGAAGAGCAGTTATTGCATGAGAACATGGAATGCCTTTCAACATCCATGCTCTATAGCTACATATTTGCCTTTGAATATCAACTACATGTCTGTATGGTCCATGAAGTACCTCATACCCTGTATCTGAATTCCATTCAATGCTGCATTTCATAGACTTAGCTGTGTTATCTTGTAGAACCTTCATTGCCATTGGAGAAATGTCGCATATCCAAGTATTGCAAAATTCTCTCATCTGCCCTTTTCTTTTCATCATTTTCACCCTAATTTCTTCAAGCATTGTAATTATAGTCTTATGCTTTGCTGCTAATATCCATGAATTGAAACATTCAGCCATGTTATTGTTTACAACATCACATTTTGAGGTAAAATTGAAGTAAAGCTTGCTCCATCTTTCAGGATTAAAATACAACAAGTGATCAACTATATTATTTCCCAACCTTTTCATATAACTAATGTTATCTTTTAACTCAGCCTCAAAAGTAGACCTTGCACACCTCCAGAAACATTTCTTTCTCTCAAGACCTCTCCATCTCTTTGACCAGTTAGCAAGGATGTGTCTAGCACACATTCTATGCTCAACATTTGGCAAATGATCAGTTATGGCAATTTCAAGACCCTATAAGAAAATTCAAGACATAAAACTAAGAAACTAAGACATTTATAAATAAATGACATTCAAGACATGAAATAAATCAAAAAAATCAATAAATATTCTAACCTTTTGCATATCTGATATGATTGTGAGGTCTGTACCATCTCCTAACTGAAGATCTTCCTTTAGAAGTTTGACAAACCAAGCCCAAGTAAACTTATTTTCAACTTCAACTACTGCCCAAGCCAGTGGTAGCATTTGATTGTTCCTATCTTTACAAACAGCAACCAATAATTGACCTTTAGATACTCCCTTTAGAAAATAACCATCCAAACCAATGCACCTCCTACAACCAGCCAAGAAGGACTTCTTCATTGCATCAAAACATATGTAGAAGCCTTGAAACATTTTTCTACCTTTTTCAAATGTTTCTTCATGAAGCTTGACTACACATGTACTACCTGGATTAGTTCTTAGCAACTCATCTTTGTAGTCCAAAATCCTCCCAAACTCAAGAACATAGTCACCCATTAACTCCTGTAATACTTTGTTTCTTGCTCTCCTACACACTATTCTTCCAACATATAAATCCAATTCTTTTTTAATAAGCCCTTGAAACTCAAAAATTCTAATGTCAGGTTGTTCCTTTATCCTTTCACTGTAGTGACTAGATAAGAACTTGCTATTACAAAGCTTGTTCCTATTAGTAGGATCACATTTGTGAACTGGATTGTATGTCTTTACAACAAAATTATTTGTCCTAGAATCAAAGCTAGCAAATAAAACCCAAGGACAACCAACTGTACACCTAACCCTTACTCTTGTTGGTTCATTAATAAACATTTCAATTACAACATGTTCAGCAACAGCATATTTGGTAACAGCAGATCTAAACTCATTAACACTTTCAAAAACAAGACCCAATTCCCACACTACTTTCTGAGAAAATGAATCAAAGACAACTCTATTCACCTTCTTTCTCCTTCTTGGCTTAACTATCTCTCTTTGTTGAATCTCTTCTTCATCATCACTGAAATCATCTGGATCTGTTTCAAAACTGGCAGCTTCATCTGAGGGATAATAAGGCTCATCACCAGCTAACTTGCCTTCTAAGTTATTTCTATTACCACCTGTAGATTCATCATACCCAGCATCTGGCCCTTTTTTTCTGTTCCTAACTTGACATGATCAAGCAATGGAGCTCTTTCTCCCCTTTTCCTTCTCTTTCTTTTACTCCTTTCCTCCCTAAAACTTCTTAGTTCATAATCTACATCACTCCCATTAAATCCCCCCCCCCCATTCAATGATTCTCTACCTGAATCTTGTTCATTAGAAGGATGGACAAGGTCAGGAATTGGATCAGAGGAAGGATGAACATGGTCAAGAGTTGGATCAGTAGAAGGATGGATAGGGGCAGGGGCAGGGTTTGAGGCAAGGTTTGAGGCATTTTCTTGGGCCTCATGTGTGGCATTTTCTTGGGCCTCATATGTTGGTTCTAATTCAGCATCAAAAGATGCATTAGGCCCACTATTTTGTGATGCTCCCTCACCTACTCCACTTTCCCCATATTCCAATAAAGGTGGGACCAAAACAGGATCAGCAACAAAGTGACACACAAAACAGTCCAAAATATCTCCATGACTCAAACACTCGGCAATTAAAGTAGTATCATAGTCAGATTTGATTTCTTACATAGCAGAACTTCTAGGAAGTTTTACATACAACACACATTGTCCAGGTTCATACCCCAACTCTTTCAAACAATCCCTCAATTCAAAATAAGATAACCTATCTATATCAACATCTAAAAACTCATAAACTCCTCTACCATGATATGGTTTCCCCTTGTATTCCTTTTTTCCAATCTTAATAACACCACTGTGGTAAAATCTCAAAGTAATCAATTCAAAAGACATTTTAACCTGAAAATAATGTTATCAGTTAACCCTCAACAACAACGACAAAACATATACAACAACAAAATTCATACAACAACAACGGGGAATCATGTGAATGAAAGACGACATACAGTAAACTTGAAAGAAAAATAAAGACGAAATAACCCTAAGCTAAAAAGTATGAACTATGAAGTAACCCTAGAAATGTTTGACTGACCTTTCAAATATGGAGATAACAACAAATTATGAACGATGAACGCCTCGATTGTACCCACCAAACCCTAGTAACCACCGCTTTGCTTCCACCAAATGATGAACGCCACGATCGACAATGTTCTTCAAATATAACTACAAGGATGCTTCAAAAACATCACAAAATCGAAGAAATCTTTAGCTAAAATTAGGATTTGCAGATGAATTTTTTCGATTAGGTTTTGGTGTTCTTAGAGAAAGGAAACGGGTGGGTGAAATAAATGGACTAGGGTAAAATAAAATGGATTTGGGTGAAAAAAATTGGGTTTGGGTGAAAAGAAACGGGTTTGGGTCAAAAGAAACGGGTTTGAGTCAAATGAATCGGATTGGAGTCTTTTATTATGTGGCTTAACTAGGAGGCGAGTGGCTTTCACTCTAGGCATAATGTCCTTGGTTGGGTGACGGAAGGGGGAAATAAATATACTTTTATGTACTTAAGGTGTGTAATAGGTCACCTCATTAGTTAAAGTGTGTAAATGACTTTTGGGTATACGTTTAGTGGGTAATTTATGCCTTTTGCCAAATTAATATTTGCTAGGTGGCAGGCACAATTAGCCCCTTTTGATTTCAAAATTCATTATATAAAGGGAAGTGATAATTCCCTCCCAGACTTCTTATCTAGAGAATATCTTTCTTCTTAAAAAAATGGGTTTTCTTGACCTCTTTACTGATATTACTTTGGTTACAATTTTGAAGGCAGTTCCTCTTAATAAAGATTTACAGAAAAGTATTTTATGGAGAATTATAGATGGAATGGTGATGGATATCGTCGCTAATTACATGATTGAACAAGAACTTTATGAAAGATTTTATTGTTTTGAAGTTTATGACCTTTTAGATGATTAAAACTAAATGTTATGTTTGCAGGATGGATCCTCCTTGGGTAAGCAAGGCTAGAGGAAGGGGCAGTTATACTCGCGGAAAGGGAAGATCCTCCTCTTCAAAAACATCAGGATCATCATACGGATCCTCATCCAGCTCTCCAATTATACTAAGGGAGGAATGAGCTTGGTAAAACTAACAAGCTCTTCAGAAGAAGCTACTTCTTCGATACATCTGGATGATATTCCAGAAAATAATCCATTATACGCCCAACTGAGAGCATATTTATCTCAAAAGCAAAGTGATACTTTTGCATCGGTGGCGAAAGAAGAGGTTGATGATATTAGATCCTATGAAAGGGTAGTAAAGAAAGAAATGATATTTCTTATTGAAAACTCTGAGATACAGAGAAAAGAAGAACCCTGGAAGATATTCCAGCGATATTTACTTAACGGATTATACTTCCCAGGAGAGTCATACAAAACCCGCTTATATTACGAGACCATTTTAACGAATACAGGTAGTGTTGAATTTCAGCACTTCTCAGGTTATAACACCAGCGAGAACGTTTATAACTTCTCCAAAATGATCATAAAGCAGATTATATCAATTGAAGATTGGGGTATATCCTCGATGAAAGAAAGGCAGATCAGCCTCAATAAAATCCCTACCAATTTCACTTATTGGGATTATATTAACGCTTTCAGCAAAGTCCTTTACTATAACAATGAAAGGCATAAACATACTTGCTTTATCAAGGTGTGTGCAAAGATATTTGTTGACCCAATTCCTAACTGGTTCTTGAACTGGTGGTCATACCATGGACCGACGGTAAAGATTTTACTTGATCCCTTTTTAAAGTTATACAAAAATTGGGTTAAGGTTTCACCATACCTTAATGATTTATACCACTCAGATCATGTTTGTTATATAGAACAAATTGAACAAATTTATTTCTTCATATAATTCTCGATTCCATGGATCCATAAATGGACCCCGGAAGTAGGTTTTATAGAAGAACAAATTCCATGCTTATATCGAATTTATTATAATAATTTCTGGGATAAATTAATGAAGAAGGATCCCATGACTAAATCATTATATGGCCAAGAATTATTGGACTCTATTTCACAAAGAATCCAAGATTATGGTACTATTCCTCACAAAGGAATAATTGTTGACAACTCCGTCAAACATATTGCCAGAAGAATTACCATTCAAGATGGAAATAAAGAAGAAATGATAAAGGAGTATTTGGATGAAATAAGAAGGAATCTACTCCTCAATATCACTCACTATGAAACATCAGACACCTCAATGAGAAGTGAAACAAGTGATCATATCGCAGCTGATGCTCAAGAGGCCCAGCCTATCGGTGAAACCAATGACAGAAGATATGTTGTCTAAAGCAGAAGATTTACTTAGGGAGTTGAAAAAGAAAGACAAGATGACCACTATTGATTAACAGTAGATACACTGTTAACCCACAGTAGAAAAACTGTTACTGTACATTTGGGACCCATTGATAAGGGACCCATGGTCACTGTAAATCATTGTAGATCGGTCACTGTAGATCACTGTAGATAGATGCTTTTTTTCTTCTATAAATAAGGTATTTTGTAGTTTGAAGGAGGGGCGTCGAAAAACACTCTCTCTTCAAAAGTTTTTTTAAGTTGTTTATTTCTCTTAGTTTATAAAGCTCTCGGTTTGCCGGAGGTTCGCCGGAAATAATAAAGTTATTGATACAAGGTAATTTAATTCTCTACTTTTATTTATAAATCTTTTTATTTCTTCGATCTGGAAGCTGTGAATATGTCCGGCTAAAAAATTAAATCTATGCTGGATAACTAACTTTTCTTTTATATAGACCATGAACAGATCTAAGCTTTATTTAAATATAGAAGAATTTTAGTATGGCTTCTCGACTTGGTTCTGAGATTGAGGTACAGTCAGATCTAGTACTACTTTTATTGGCTTTGTCTTTTGACTCCGTCTGATGAGCCGTGGTTTTTAGCCCGAAATTGAGTTTGATAAGTAGGGCGCCTCATACCCGGTTAGAACTATCAGACACATGGGCTTAATAAAAGTATGTATTAGCTTCTTGACATGCCCTTTGCTTGGGTAAAATAATTAAACCATGCAGTCTGAGAAACTATGTTAAAATAATAATAATAATAATAATAATAATAATATAATAATAATAATAATAATAACAATAATAATAATAATAATAATATAATAATAATAATAATAATAACAATAATAATAATATTAACAATAACAATAATAATAATAATAACAATAATAATAATAATAACAATAATAATAATAATAATAATAATAATAATAAAGACATCTTTGTAGAATCTAAAATATGTGAGAGTCTTGCATCTAAGGTTTTGGAGCTAGGTTCTTATGGTCTCACTATTATCTAACCATCTTCTTGAGAAATGTTCTATAATATTAAAAATAAGGGTATAGACAACATTTTGGGTAAAATCCTGTTTTCCTTCTTGTTTAACTGCCTGGAGGATTTTATCCCTTTGCTCTTGGTTGAGATAGTTATTCCACCAGCCTTTTAATAGGTATAAGCATCATAGTTAATACTATGGCTTTCTCCTCTAAGAGTTTTCCTAACTCTTTCTGCAAAAAGAGATGGTAATCCATCTATAAATTTGGATTTCCAATGGGTGTTATTATAAGTACTAGAGAAGTTACAAAATCTGTTTTTCCTCCTTTACAGTCCTTTCAAATTCAAAAAGATGATAAGATTGTTCATTTTAATGCTTTTTCAAAATTATTTGAAGATAATACTGCTTTAGTGACTACCCAGCATATTAATGTTATGATTAAGCAGCAAAATTATGCTAACATTTTTATGAGTATTTTGGGAGAACAGATTAGTTCTCTTCATGATAATGTTGACAAACTACTTTCTAAAATCAATTCCAATAATAAACGAAAAGAGAAAGTAGCCAACACCAGTATTCAACCTCACCCAAAAATCGAGGATTTCAATATTAAAGACTTTTCATATCTTGAGAAGTTCTTAGAAAAGAGGATTAAAGGCGGAAATTTAAAGCCTTTAAAGGTTAATAACCTTTTCAATGGAGAAAGCAGTAATAAACAAGAATTTTCTGACAGGATTAGTAAAATCTAAGAAAAATATGCAAGAAAACCGGTCCAAAGGATGTACTACTATCCTAGACCTACTCCTCAGGATGTGCTCTTGGAAGAGAATGAACATATTATAACTAATAGTTATAATGGGAAAGATTTCTTTATGCAATGAAATCAAGTTGAATCAACAGATTAAAAGACACCGTCTTAATGAAAGACAACCATTGGGAGAATTCTATGAACAATTCTCTTTGGATATACCTGAAGCAAGTTCCAAAGATAAGAAGCATTATTCCAAGAAAAAGATTATAAGGAATGGAAGAAAAGGAGAATTGAAAAGAAAGAAAGAAGAGCTAAGACTCATAAAGAAAAGAAAATATTTTATAAATCTAAACGAAAATTTGACAAGTCTTATACTTGCCACAAGTGTGGAAGATTTGGTCATTATTCTAAGGATTGCAAAGTCAAGAAAAATATCAAAACCCTTGATATTGATGATAATATCAAAGAATCTCTCTATAAAATAATGCTAAATTCTGATTCTGGAAAATTAGAAACTGATTATAGTAGTCATGAGGAGTTCTCTACTAGTGAAGGTCTTAAAGCTATTCACCAAAAAGATTGCCTGACTTCGGATGATCATTGTCTACTTGCCAACAAGGATTAAAATGTGTAAAGGATAAGGAGGAAGATGCTCTTTATAAGATCTATTCCTAGTTCAAAGAATTGAGCATTAATATCATTGATAATGACAAAATAATAGAGCTCTTAAAAATTGTAAAAGATCTGGAAATAAGAGCTCAGATTATCGATAACATCAGTAGTACCTCCACATCTAAGACTCATATCACGAAAGAGGTTCCTACCAAAGATGGTTCATACACCATGGCAGAAGTGAAGAATCTTTTGTTAGAAAGAAGGAAACTTATAAGTTCTCCTACTACTATCAGTGATCTAAAACAAGAGATTAATAATTTCAAAAAAGACATTCAATGGTTAAAAGAAAAGAATGCCACTATGGAGATTAGAATCGATAATATCGAAAGTCTAAAAGAGTCGGGTAATAGCTCTAAATCATCTTCTTATGAAGAAGATAGTAATGATCTTGATTTTAAAAAAACTCTTAATTTTGGTAATAAAAAAGAAGATTTTTTACAGAGCCTGAAAGCTTTTTCTTCCCAAAAATTTTATACAAAAATTACTCTTCTCATAGATTATAATTACAAAAAAGAATTTATTGCTCTTATAGACAGTGCTGCTGATTTAAATTGCATTCAGGAAGGGCTTATTCCTTCCAGGTATTTTCATAAAACTACTCATAGCCTCAGATCTACAAACGGTAGCAAAATGGGAATTGAATATAAATTGCCCAAAGTTTTTATTGTAAAGGAAAAAATTGTATTCCTCAAAGTTTTGTTCTAGTAAACGATATTACTAACCAAATCATTTTGGGAGTACCTTTTATAAATGAGATTTTCCCCCTTACTTATTTGGGATAATAAAAAAATTATTAGTACTTGGAATGAAAAATCTTTTATATTAGAATTCATTACAAGACCTTTTACAAGAATGATAAATGAACTTTCATCAAAATTGATTTTAAAAAATAATCAAGTCAGTTTTATCAAAGGCAAAATTAATAGTATTGAGATTGATAATATTCTTCAAAATCCTAAATTACAGGATAAGATTGCTATCCTAAAGAATAAGTTCTCCCATAATATATGTGGAGATCATCCTAATGCTTTCTGGAACAGGAAAAAGCATGTTGTTAGCTTCCCATATGAGGAACACTTTAGTGAGGATAATATTCCTACAAAGGCTAGACCATGCCAGATGAATTCCAATTATCTGGAATTATGCAAAAAGGAAATTGACCCCTTACTTCAGAAAGGCCTTATAAGGCATTCTAAGTCTCCATGGTCTTGTACAACCTTTTATGTTAATAAGCATGCTGAACAAGAAAGAGGTGCGCCCAGGTTGGTAATTAATTATAAACCTCTTAACAAAGCTTTAAAATGGATCAGATACCCTATCCCTAATAAAAAGGATCTCTTGGATATA